ACAGAAGTCATCAAGGACTCCTGATTACAGGCTCTGGAACAGCTACTGTCAAGGCATCTTAGAGAATCATAAAATCATTTGAGCTGGAAGTGAGCCTTAAGCGTCACCTAGTTCAATTCTCCCGCAATGAACAGGGACAGCTACAGCTAGATCAGGCAACTCAGAGCCCCCTTCAGTCTGACCTTAAACGTCCCCAACGATGGGACATCCACCATCTCTCTGGATATCTGGTTCCAGAGCTTCACTTTCTTCAATAAAAACAAACAAACAACTTTTTCCTTATATCCAATCTAAATCTTCTCTTTTAGTTTGAAAACATTTTCAATTTAAATGAACAAAATACTGTTCCTAGCACTGTAAATAAAACAGAAGTATATTCAAGAATATCAAGAATACATATCTCTAAAATTAATAAAGATACCTGCTGATGTAAGCCTGCTTGAAATCTGGCCTCATACTAATTGCTTGTCGATACAATTGATCTGCTTCTTCGAGGCGAGATTCATTTGCTCGAATTAAGTTTGCAAGATTGATATAAACATTCAGGTGATTAGGAGCAACTCTTGCTGCGTATTTTTTACCTGGAATAATCTGTCAAAAAGAATATATTTCCAAATGCCAATGAATGAAAACACGAAAAACAACCAGTAGAGATCTAACACTTCAGTCTGCCTCATTTGTTATAGGGTACCAGTGGAGATCATTTGTCAGACTGTTCAGTCCAGAAAAAAATCATACAAACATCACACTATGTCTCCTTAATTCTATAAGCACATACAACATCACCTTAAATTTGATATAGACATTATCAGTTAACTGATCTCTGCTACTCTGTGATGTGGCTCATGCAAATGGCCATTAACAGCCAATAGGACCTTGTAAAAGGTTCTCGCTCATACCAAGATTATTTCTTAAAGACTAAGCTGGTATTCTATGAGAACACTTTTTCTGGGGGGGAGAAAGAAAGGAAGGAATACCAGCCACTGTGCAGCAGATGAAAAACTTTCATGAGATATGAAAATGCTATGGCACTTTAAATGAAGTACTGTTTACTAAAGTCTTCAGACAGCAAACATTTTAATGCCATATTCTCTGCTCAAGGGATCGATGATTTTCCTGTAAGTCTAATTTTGATCTTAACTGTTTTTGCCTTTTGCCTCCAAAATATTCCTCCCCTTCTCTCCTGAACAGCTAAAATGCATAACAGTTGCTAGATACAAATACAACCTGGCATATGGTAAAGGTAACAGAGCACACGTTTATAAAAGCAAGTTGAAGCAAAGGTGTTCTTTTTTGTTGCTGCTGCTTCAACTGCCTTGTCTCATCTTTAACACTGCATTTAAGCCTTCCCCTATGAGTTTGAACACTAAACATTATCAATGTATTGGCTGGATGTGAAAATCAAAACAACTGTGATTAGAAACTGTAAGTTTGTATTTCTAACTTGCTTTTTTTTTTTTTTTTTCTCCTCAATTTAAGAAAAAATAAATCCAGAACAGTATAAAAACTTTTTTTTTTTTAAACAAAGAAGGTCTAAGTTAGTATTTTTAAACAGCACACGATATGACCTTATTTAAGAGATTTAAGCTTTAATAATAAGGTTTAAAACAACAAATATCTTCAACAATAAATAAGAAAATTGAATATAGGTATGATAAAGTTGCCTCCTCCCCCATGCTGATTATGTTACTAATTACCTGTGGCATCAATGATTTAGCAATCATGTATGATTTCTCAGCTTCTTTAGTTTTGTTCAAGTTTTTGTAAGTTCTTCCAACATTCATGTGAGCACCAATGTCATCTTGAAGAAAAGAGCGAAACTTCTAATTTTTCATGCACTCAGTAACGTGAAAAAATATCTATGCTTTGAGAGTAGTATTAAGAACAGGTACTGCATAAAGATCAGAAAAAAAAAAAAAAAAGCACTTCTAATTTATTTTTTAACTTCATAATTTAACCATAAACCAAAAACGTATTATACTTGGCCAAAAATTAGAGGTCATACTTTGATGTAGTTCGTCTTTAATTTTCCACTATAGTAAAAGCACATTAAAGTTATTTATAAGGTTTTCAGAAGGAAAGGTTGTCCAGTACTACCCAGAACTTCTTTAGCAACAGTGTGAAAAAAGAGTAGATGTGCACTTTGATATATCATAGATTGCCTATCCTTAGCATTAAATGAGGAAATTGAAATTAAATAATAGCTAAATATGCTTCAAAAGGAATTATAGGTTTGATGACATTCTGTTTGGATGAACTTCACTAATAGCTTTACATGAAAAGTCTTCATTTTTGTACAGATGGAAACTTCTATTGAATTTTTTTTGGGGGGGGGGGGAGGGGAGGGGAATTCGTTATCTCTTAAGAGTAACTTTTATTGTACTGAGAAACTATGGATCAAGTAAGGGAAACGGTTTGCTGTTCAACTGGTGCAAAACATAACATTTTAAGGAAGCAGAGTTTAATGTAACATTAGGAGAAGCGAAAAGCCATTCAGTGGCACTTAATCAAAGCTTTTACCTGGCTGTACTTGAGTGGCTTGTACGAAGAACTGCAAAGCTCTTTCAAAATTCTTTTCATTTTCTAATGCATGCCCCACATTGTTCCATAGCTTTGCATTGTTCTTATTTACCTAAAACCAATAATATATATATAAATTTATAATGTATTGAGTCTCAGTTACACAACGCTTGATTTTCTTCTAACTACACAGAATCATAGAATCAGAAAGGTTGGTCATCTAAGATCATCTAGTCCAACATCTCAAGGTTGGAAAAAACACACAACAAATAACAAATGAAGTTGTTACGTGTAAAGAATAACACTGCGTACAGAGCAATTGCATTTAACTTGTTGCTCAACATACATTTACCTTAGTTATTAGTGCCTAAAAATCTGCAGAATTTTAAAATACATTATAGTTGTCATGGAAAAATGAATAGATGGTTGTTCAAATTGTACTGTCATGCCATATGAACATTAGGAAAAAATAAAAACTATTTTATGGAAAAATTTTGTAGATTATGTATTCAAGGATATTGTGCTAGCATAAAGAAAATATATTCAACTTTTATAGCACATTAAGAAAAAAAATCTTCTGTTTCTTGCACATGAATCACGCTGCTTTTAAAGCATTCCCAAAAGCAACTAATTGATTTAGATACTGTCACCACAAAAATCAAAGTGGCAGAACAAGCATAATTTCTCTTCATTCTTAACATGCACTGTCAGTTTTCGTGAACATCAACATAAAATTTCATTTATCCTTTTCAGTTAAGATACAATACCTTTAAAGCTGACATAAACAGTGTGTACTCTGATTCCCAATCCCAGTTTCTGTGCAGTGTTTTCAAGGCATGTGTGAACAGTACCACAGCCAAACAAACCCAAGAAATTTTTCTTAGCATGCTACTAAATAAAGGCAACAAAACAAAGAATTATTAAAAGCACGCAAACAATTCTAATTTGTATTAAATGAAGCATCTTCTATGCTAGAAGCCAAATAAACTGAGGAATGAAAAAAATATAAAATATTATCCCATTCTTCTATTTAATAATCCATACAAGTTCTTTACTAAACATATTACTAATGTTTTCCACACTATAAAACACTTCTTATTAGAGACTGTTCAACATTCCATAAGCAAATAAAACTCAAACAAAAAGGAGAAAGATTTAGTATTTTAACAACTTATTTTTTATTATGAAAACTGCAAATCAGAATCATAGTTAATGTCATAGAGTCAATGTTGGAGAAGACCAGTCCATGCAGTCCAACTGTCCACCTACCACCAGTATTTCCCTACTAAACCATGTCCCTTAATACAACATCTAAACATTTATTGAATTACTAGGAGAAGAAATCCCACTCTGACCAGACAATCAACAACTATCATCTAGATCTAGTTTTTGTTGTTTATTTTCTGAAGTTTAAACATCATTTGGTTTAACATGAACTAAATTTTAACAGACAGATCAGATGGATCTAATTGTGAAAACACATACTAGATACCTACCTAGCCTTCCTCCAATTAAGAACATCACTTTATTAACAATCATTAAAAACCTCACTCTCAAGCAAACATTTCTGTTATTCAGCCTTTCCAACTATTTCTTGGTCTTTGCAAAAGTTGTTCACAGACCTATGTACTTCACAGAGGCTTGATAAAAAACAAGACTTCCCCTCACATACAAAAAGCCATACATTTGATCAGGACAGTGCTTGGTTGTACTGCTATTTTGTTTTTTAAATGAATTAATATGTAGAACAGCAGAATTATGAGAGGTATTTCAACATTTAAGCAAAGCAATTAGCAAGAACTGATGCATGCACTACTCCATATCTTCACCAGGCTCATAAGAAAGCTATTTTCCCCAATCTTGTTTCTGAAGTAAGGAGCCTTTTCCACATCGGAAGACTTTTTAGAGCACTGACTGCCTGTATTTTTGCAGTAAGCCACACTGCTGCCTAATTTTCCTCCCTGCCTGTCCTCTCCTGGATCCTTGTTTTCTGTCACATCACTTTATTTTTTTTTTGCATCATACTGGGATTGTGATAATACTTTCTCCTCACTCCCACAGGGTATCACGGATTTTTCCTTATCCAGCTGTCAGCTTTGGCAGTGCCAATTAACACAAGTCATCCTGCAAGGTCTCACATCTAAAGACAGCAGACAACATAGACTGCTGCCTTCCAGTTCTCCAAGCAAGCACTGGGGTAACAAGGTTAAAGCATTCATGTCAGGAAGAAGCATTCACAGATCAATGTAGAAGACAGCAGAAAACTGGAGATACATTCAAAAATATGCTTTTCTAAAACATTCTTTAGTCAAACAAATACTGAACAGCTCTGATATTCATTCTTAGAACTTGAACTCTGAATGTTTTATCAGTAAATAAGATATTTTCATGCGCTGCAGACTGATATACACATGCAGTACCTAAACTTTAGTCAGTAAACACCTTTAATTGAGGTATAAATTGAATTTAGTCTAGAATGCTTTTGCTTAATCCTTAAAAATGATTTCAGAAAGAGTATCATGTTTCTTCACATAAAAGAGATGAGATAACTAGGCAATCCATTTCACAGCAATGTGTAGCTTGCGTTCTAGAATGTTTGGTGCCAGAAGTATTTAAAATATGTATTTTCTTTCAAATTAACCTTCTAAAGCCCTCAGAAAAGTAACAATGCCTTGTGCTGGAGAGGAATCTCAGCATTTAGTATCAAGACTATTCTTTTTAAAAGGCAAAGGATCAGTGCACTAAGGTGCACTTTCTAAGATCCTTAAACTCATCCTGTACTTCTATTAATTTGGTTTATCTACTAAAATAAAAATACAAAAATCTCATTTTCTGAAAACTTTTCTTAAAATCTGTCTCACTCTCCAAATCCAACCTCTAACAAATTTTAAACTTACTACTTCCAAATCATTACAAAAATCACTATTCGGCAAAAATGGTCTGACCAACCATGGCAAGCTGCTATCCACTAAACTAAAAACATACTAAAAAAAAAAAAGATTAAAGGCCATGATGTCATGATAATGTCTGCTTAATCAAGTCATGAAAATTTCACAGTAGGCTGCATACTTCTATCAGAAGTTCTGATCTTCAGCAAAGATTTTAAGATTTTGACCTAAAAATCTCAAAACTAAGTTGAATAACTGAATTAAATACATTATCCTTTCATCTTACAAGCTGTACATCACTTTTACTTCACAAATAAGAATGTAGCACCGACTGAAAAGATCATGAAGTTACCAGTTACGATACCATGGAATTCAAATAGAACAGCAAAAAGTAACTTCTAGTGTACCTTCTTTGTAGCACTAAGCTCAACACAGTTAATTTTTAAATACTTAATTTTAAGTACTTAACTGGATGAGTAACTTAAGATGTCAAGCTTCTGACTGCACATCCAACATGCACATGGACAAATTTAATCAAAGGTACCTGCTGATGTAGAAGCGTTTTTCCTAATAAATGGCTATCCCTTAAAGCAGCACTAAACTCTTCTACAGGGAAAACAGCTAATCTACTGTTCTGAAAGCAATGTTGATGATGATGCATGTGTGCTTATAAATGAAAATATCCACTGGTCTCCTAAGTTCCTTCTTGTCATCTGTTCACACAACAGCCAAGCTGTCACTACTCCACATTCAATAATAAAAACTGGACACAGTACAAGAGTTGTAATGTAATAACACCACTAAAAGATCTACAGGGAGAGCTAGCAGTCATAAATAGGTTTATCCTTTATTAAACAAAGAGAGATGAGTTAAACAAGTTATGGATATACCTACCATACCTTTTATTTGATAATTTCTTCCATCCATGTGCTACTAAGATGCAGAATCCCATGCTAGGAACATACAACACTCGTTCTGCTACTACAAATCCAACAGGAAAAAACAGATTTGATGCAGGAATGAATGGCAGCACTATTAAGCAGAGTGCCTAGAAAGGAAATACAAATGAATTAGTAAGCAAGACTGGGTTGTGACACACTGTACTGATAACCAGATCTGTTTTACATTGAGACCATTCTGAAAATGGAAACATAGAACTTGCAAATGACACTCCTTATTTAACAATCAACAAACGTATTTGGTTTTCCATACTGCAGAAAAGAGCAGCTGTATGACAAACACTAACATGAAATGATCAAGCACAAAACAGGATTTTAATAAGTTACACATACAAAAACATGGCAGTCCTACAATCTTGGACATTATCTTCCATAACAATAAAAATTTTATACCAACTTACAGTGTAAAAAAAGCACTTATTTTTACAATGAAATAAATTTTTAGTTTCTCTTAAAAATATGAATAATAAAAACCAGAATCAACCACTGAATTAACATCTATGTTAAGACACCACACTACAGGCACACAAAAATATCTAAAATGATAATGAACTCACCAACTTCCTTAACTGTAGCTCTTAGATTGAGTACAGATAGAAAACCATCTGTTTCAAAGGATACAACCTTTTGCTTTAAGTTCTGAGTGACTAAGAGCTTTACAATCTCTGATATCATCAGAAGGTTTAAGTAGTTATTTCTAAATACATGGCATCCAAGTTACAAATAACAAAACCAAAAAATCCAAACCCCTGCATAAACTGAGTACTACTTTTAATAAAATCTTGAATTTTCTAGAAATTTGTAATTTGCAAACTTGTACAAAAGAAAATCAACAGAAAGCATCTTCCAAGCATACTTGGAAGCAAAAAAAAGTGCTGCTGTTTTGCAGACTTTTTAAATACAAGCCATTCACAATGCAGTACACTGCACAATCTATAAGACTCATACATTTTTTTAAACAAATTAACTCATTTTAAAACACTGATTTGAAGAAGTCATCTCTGAAGATTTTAAGAAGGTAGTTTTTCCATTATTGCTATTTTTTAATTATTATTATTTTTTTTTAATACAGTAAGGACATTGATCTCAAAGCCCCAGGGTTAACAAGTATACAGCAGAACAGTGAAATCCACTGTTTTCCAGTGGGAAGGATTCTGCAGCTCACACAGCAAGTGCCTGGTAGCACTGAGTGCTTACAATCTAGACACGTAATAAAAAGAATCATCCCTAAGTAACAAGGTTTTTGCATGGTCTGTTCTTTTTAAATTTTTCTGATGGCAACATGTTACACAATGTTTTACTGAAATTCTCTTTCAGTCCCTTTGTCTCTCCTTAGTATACTGTCCTTCAAATACAATTTCGTAAGTGACAGGCTCAAAGCTCCAGTAGATAAAAATGTCTTCTTTTCATTCACTCTCTTTATCAGTCTTTCAGCAGGTGCAGAGGTTCAGTTGAAAAAAAAAAAAAAAAAAAAAAAAAGAAGTCCCAGTCAAGGCAACTGAAAAACCTAGAAGAGAAAGAAACATTTAGAGTGTGCAGAAAGCACAAAGCACATGACAAACTCTGAAATATGACCATAAACTATGATGAATAAGTGAACCGCCAGATTACTGTTCACAAGGAAATATTTCAAAGACTTAAATGTAAGCACAGAATCAAGTATCAAAGAATTTAGAAGTACTGATGTCTTGGCTGTTACGTCACTTAAAAGTTCTAAAGACTTTCTCTGAGAAGCCTGAAGATACTCTCTCTGCTCTTGACATTTGCACAGTAAAAAGCCAAGAAGTTTTTTGATTGAGTACAGATCTAAACATAAGAGAGACATGAAGAAGGATAATAATAAAGCATCTTTATTAGGAACACTAAGCATTTATCAAGAGATAAGCTTTATTAAAATTCTGGTAGCTAACAAAGGCAAGTGTATACCCAAAATACTTCACATCAAAAATAAAAGCCATCACAGCTTGATTCTGGAACCTAGTGAGAAGACACCAAAGTAATTCTAGATCTGTGCTATTTTTAGTACTAAATATTTTCAATATTTATACTGCAACTTATTTTAAAAGGTCACTCACTCTGACAGTAACTCATCTGACTGTTCACAGGGACTGAGCAAACAGCGAGTATAAAATACTTCAGTTGCTTAAGAGAATTTTGTTTCTATTCACGTCCTTCATTAATGTCAAAATAATCAATTATTTCAAGCAGCATAATGTCATTAACATGCCAAAGCATGAGTTCTGATTTGCTATACACAATTCTATTTTTTTTTGTTGTTAGTTTAATGTTATCAGTTGAAAAAGTAAATTAGCTACTTCAAAGAACCAATTTATCTGTTTAGAACTGTTGCAGTTCTGTTATTTCGAAAAGGCAATTTTAGGACTTACTGCAAAAATAAAAACATGACAAAGTAAAATAGAATGCATCAACTTACCAAAGTTATTCTTCATGGACATAACTGGTTTTAAATAGATTATGGCTGAAAATGGGTCCTTCAACTTCCACATTTCTTCTTAGTTCATCCTGTGAGAATACTTGTAAGGAACTGTGGGATGTCCACTGTCACTCGCAGAAGTAGGAGGAGGAATCCATTCTTCTGTCTCGTCTTCTTGTCTCACAAGAAGTACAACACCCACATCCATACCCAGCAAATACGGAAACACATACTAAGCCATGCTTGAAGTCTCCCTTCTGTCTTGTATTTTGGATCTCTCTCATATTTTGGTTCTGTCTCCTCTGCATTTTATTTGCAGTGTATGGGAACTGCTGAATCACAGCCCGAACCTCTGACTGACTACCTGAGGTGAGCAATGAGTCAGCCCTAGGAGCACAGGTTAAGGCAATTCACCTGTGCTATGGAAAGGGCTGGAGCCTGGCTCCACCTCTCCTAGACCCCATCTGAGAACTGACTACCACTGGGGAAGGATCTCTTTTGGAAATTGCTCCTGTTGGAGTCTTCTCAGCAAGCCAAGGACCAGGATAAGCTTTCCATCCATTCTTCTTTAGCATGGTAACCTGTTTAGCTTAACTTTCTTGTACATTTCTAAATTATAATATCTATATATTCATTGATTATACGCAAAGTAAAAATAAACATGTCTATTTTTCCAGGAGGCTTGAAGTTGTACTGTTTTCAATCTCATAAAACAAAGTCACTTGTGAATCTACCTTAGGCTTCAGTATCAGACCTGAGAGTTACAGGGGGCTAATGGAAGAGCCAAAATGTGCTAGAGACTGGTAAAGTTCTTTACAAAGCCCTTTATAATTCCATTGGAGTCAGACTCATTAAGAGTTCAAAATAAACAGTATGAACAGTCACACTTTCAATTGTGATGTGTTGAAAGCACCTTTATGTTAGGAGCAATCCATGCAGACAACACACAGAACTTACACCTGTCAGGGCAATAATTTATTTTGGCTAGCAGTCAAAGTCAAGCTTGTATTGGAAATACTAAGAACTGAGTGTGGAAAAATGCTTTCTAAAAGCAAACAAAAACCTGAAAAACAAACCCTAAGAAAAGCAAAACAAACAAACAAAGAAACACAAAAAAAAAAACCAAAAAAAAACCAACCTGTATTCCAACATAGCTATCTGGAAAACTGCTATAAACTGTGAAAGATTCAATTTTTTCATTTTAAAGATGGTATTACAACTCTCTAATATGTAAAACAGACAAGCCACAGTGAAGAAACCTTGTAACAGAATATCCTGTATACATCAGGATATTAATGGTTAATTGTAAGACAACATGGCTTTCACCTCACAGTGTTGTTCAAAGTTATAAAAAATAATTTTTAATATTTTATATCTCAATTCCTAAGAAATTAGCTTTAAGGCACTTAGATATTCCAGAGAAAATCAACATCACACAGAAGATCATATACACAACACACATATCTATGAAAAGAACTTTTGTTAAATAGTGATTATACTATCTTAAGCCTCACTGTAGTTCACAGGCTTTACTTAACGATCTCAGAAGACCTTATTATTATATTAGAACTGTGTTAGGTCATGACATGAATTAAAGTTTGTCTGAAGTCTGCTGATTAGCAGAGAAATTCTTACTGTTTAATTGTGCATAAATATTCCCACCCATTTGAGACTTCTGTTGGCTAGTTACATATTAAAAAAAAGCACATTTCTACTAAGGCAAGCTTAGATTATGCGTGCAGATCTGCAAGCATAATTGCATCACTGACTTAAAACATAAATAAAGAACACGCTATCAGCTAATCATTCATCTTATGAGATTCTGCAGTAGCAGCAACCAAAACCTTTACTTCTTAGATGAAAAATATTTTTCATTTGCTCCATTTCCTCCAAAATACTCTTTCCTGAGAATCCGTTTCAATTCCAAGATCATATATTACCAAAAAAAAAAAAAAAAGGAAGTGAATTTTTAGGTTGACAAATCTAGTTTTCATTTAGAAAACAGACTAAAGAAGAGTGCTTTTATTAATGCTGAAAACTCTAGTTTTCTAGCCAACTTCTGAATATTTCAAAACAGCCATAATACAGTTGGCAAATAAAAAATAGCCATATTTATTCTTGTTTATTTTACCCCATCTCATCCCTGACACATACTTAATTACAATTCAAAGGGTTAACTGCTATAACAATTTTTCTCTTCTCTTACATGTTCACTCTAGTCCAGAAGAAGATACATAATAGTGTCACCAAAGATTAGGTAGGTGATGAAACATCCTAAGCCAGTTACATTCAGGGAGAAGAAGGATAAAAAAATACAAATGCATCAATCATACCATCAATACAGTCTTGGAGGAATCCCCAGGATATCGGAGACTGAAGACAGTCAAAGATCCCAGAAAGCAAAAGAACGTAAGGGTGGCAACATTTCTGATGTCTAACAAAGACTCCACAAGTGGGATAGTTCCCATTGTCCAGTCACAGCATAATTCTGAGGGGTTGAGAAGAAGCCAAGCATTTACAGGGAGGAGGTAGTTGAAAGTCAGCTGCCTTGCTGGAGATGGACTTACAGCAGCTGGGTTATCAAACCTAAAGAAAAATAAAGGAGAAAAATGAGCTTTTAATGAAAGCAAATAATGATCTTCATTGATTTTAAGACCAGAAGCAAGCAACTCTAGATCACAGCTAGAACGGCCAATTACAGCTTCGTACTTAGGTCACTCTGAAAGTAATGTCTCCTATTTATTTCTGTGGAAACTACAACAGGTACAAATAGCACAATAACACTGTTTGACAGAGACAATTCTCAGCCACAGAACACAGTTTTTCAAAATCATAGCTACCATCAGATTTGCATGGATGAGCTGATCAAGACACTCTTCATTTTGTGGTGTGACAGTTGCGCATTGACATCTGGAAGTGGCTTGTCTTTCACACTGTTGTCACCACTGCTTCACTGTGCTCACATCTACTGTCTATCTCCATAAAAATTCAGCAAGTGCCAATGGGTACCATTTCTTCTGCATGGAGGAATTCAATGACACCTTTGCATTTATGCACTTCCACGTCAGATGCCATTTTATCACACTCCCTCTCTGCTGCCATCTGTCACATGGCAACAAAACGTAGCAAAATATTGGCGGGAAGATTCAGCGTCTACTGCCATACTACCAACATCTGCGTCTGATATTGTGAGCCAACATAATAAAGTAGAAGGTATTAGTTACAGAGCAGCCTTTGCACAACAGCTCTTGCTCTAATCTTCCTGCATTTGTAAAGTGTGTACCCTGGTGACTCATGCATGACATTGCATCTTAGCATTGCAGGACAGAGCCTTCTCTGAAACACTTTAAGAATTGGGAATGTTTAGGAATGTAATCGTTCTGTTTTAACAAACTGAATGATTGCTTAAGGAAACAAATGTTTGTTGATTGATTGTTTCAACAAACAATGATTTACAGCCCTCTTCTTGAGAGTTGCTCCGTTTATCATTTTAAAAGTTTTTGAAAGTTCTATCAAGGAAAAACATTACACTTTTATACTATTTCACATTTTCACAGTAAATTACAGTTTTTCTGTTCTACCAGTATTCATATACATTTATCCTAGATTCTGTACCTGAAGATACACATGTTCTCCATAGAAAACAAAACAATTAATCATATGTAGACAAGGAAATACTTGTCAAAAGTCTCAGACAAGTTTCAGACACGAAGTCAAAAAAGAAAAAAAAATCCATAATGAAACTTAATTTCTACATCATTAGAGCTAATTAGCAACCAAAAGGTTTTTGTTTTTTTTTAAACATCTTTTTAGACACCTTAGGTAAATGCATCTTTGACCGTTTTATTCAAATATCATTAAGTTACATCTTACGTATCAGTAGTACCCGTAAGCAAGACACTTTCCATTACCTTGTAAACACTGGAAGTTGAGACTGGATAACCTGGACTCTGACAACAACAAGAAGCAGTGTACTAAACATTAGGACTATGAGCTTCAACAGTGTTTGGAGCATGGAGAAAGGAATACTGCCCTTTCCTCGAAGAATCTGAACAGCTGTATCCCACAGAACTGGCAAGGTATACTGCAAAGGAAAAGGTGTTTTTAATCAGTGTATTCATTAACTTAGGTAAATAAAAGGTATTTCATCTTTTTTTTGACTTGTTTTTCTGTAAAAGCATGCTTCAAATACTTAATTCATGTTTCTGTTTTCCACATGCCCCACTCCCAAGTGCACCATTCTAATAAAAACAATTCTACCTAAGTATTATTACTAGCACTATCACCGCAGAACTCACATTCCTTTAATACTCTATTTTGTACTGACAGATGAAAAAGTGTTCCATCCTCAAGCACAGAATTCCTAAAACAAAGTATGACCATGAAATAAATTTTACTTTTTTTTTTTTTAATTATTAGCCCCTTTGAAAATTTGTCCAATGAACAAAATATCCAGGTACAGTAGAAATACCTTATTTCTGATCAGCCATGGCTTTCAATTTTACTCCTCTATTGCACTAACCTACCTGTCCCTGACTCTTGAGTGTTACAATCTTGAACATTATGTAACCTGATTTCTTCCCAGTGCACCAACTTCTTTGCCTGTGCCTTCATTTCTTGTACTAGGGACAACTTATGGCTTCACATACACTGTCTAACTGAAGTACAGACATTGATACTTACACTCTCAGCAGAAGACTTTGTTTACATTTTATCTATTCTACTCAACTGACTTGCACAAACTTGTTAAAAAATTTTAAAAAATTAGATTTAGATAAAAAGTTACTCTGAAAAGTAGAGGCGTGAAAAGTATGGACACATACAGATCATTCCTTTAGAAATTCAGTTTGAAATTGACACGCTTATTCACTTGACACCTAAAGCCAAATAGCTGCAAACACAGATTTCTTCAATCACAAGTATGTGTAATTTTAGCCTTGAGCATGCTAAGGTAGACAATCTTTCACCTTTTACAAAATAACAATTCATAATTTAAATAATTAAGGAATAGTACATTCAAAATATTTTCTTGCATTATTTATATATATTTTTAACTGCCTATGAGTTGACTATTAAAAAGTCAGTAAGTCTTTCACTAAAGGAAAAATGTTTCTCTAAAGAAAAGTTAATGTATGGACTTAGCAATGCTCAGCATGAAGCCTTTAGATTAGAAACTGAAGTAATTCTTAAAGCAACAAATTTCATTAAAGTAATACTGATTCAAACAACATACTCCAAAACATCTAGCACTTCATGAGTTTCTTATGAATAATATCCTCAGAATGTATGTTCTCTACTTTAAATCCTTTAGTTAAAGGATTTAAAAACCAAATCTCCATCTGTATGCACCTCAATACTTTAATCAAGACTTACACAAGTCTTTGCAAGCCTTAATAAACTAAAACATGAGGTTTTCATACAGATATGGGATTCTTTCCTCAAGTAATTCAGTAATATATGTTTCCTATGTAAAAGACAACTTAGAAGGCTAAGAATCCCTGTCCATGATGAATGTATTTTAAACATCAATTAAGTCAAAAAGAACATCTGAAGATTTTAATGTAACTACAGAATTAGCTTGAGCTGACAAAATCAGTGATGAAATATTATGCTTCTATGTCTTCAATGTCTTTTTACAGAATTCTTGAGAAGAATCTGAATTTCAACTGCATCTTACCCCTTGAGCAATAAATACTTCATAGACACAGCATATCCCCACCACTGTAATTCCTTGTTCTTTACACAGTGTTGCAACAGCTACTAGAAACACAGTCAATGCAATGGGAGTCCACACTGCAAATCAAGAAGACACAATTGAAAATGTTTCATATTACAACAAAAAACTTAGTAAGTTAACCTGAGAGATGAAGACTGATTCTTTATGTTTGAACATTCTCTATAAATTTACCCAACATGTCAGTTGTTACTCAAGGCAACATTCCCAGTCTTATTCTACAGAAAATTATTTACAAGTTACCAGTTTTAAAACCGCCTCCCTTAAACTGAAAGAACTAATTAAAAGGCAAAGGTTGGATCTCCTGATAAGAAAGAAAAAAAACAATCTTTCCTAACTTACCAGGATAACTTTTCAAATGTATGTTTTAAAGGCAGTCATAAATTTTCACAAGGTCAAACTGACTCTGGAAAAGTGATAAGCCTCCTACACCTCTACTGAAACTCTGCAGCTTACTTGGGACCAACTGAAGGATCTAAGAATACTTCCACCTGCATTCAATGGAGTTAGTACAAGAATCTCTGTCATTAGAGAACTCAAGGTTTAACAAAACATTTTAAAAAATGCTTTAGTCTTGAAGAAAATAAAACGCAATTTGTGACTGGAAGTACTGCTACAGGGATATTACGGGGTTGATGGCTTTTGGGACATTCTTTGATATTTGCTTAATAACCAGCATATGTGCATTGCCATTTTAAGAGCTCTTTATCACTAATACAGAAATTAAGATACACATATTTGGAGGTCATTTACCTATGGTATTATCTGGTCCTTTAGATTTAGTGTATGATAAAAATGCAGCTAGAAAAAAGATAGATGATAAAAGCTCTGCTCTGCCCACAACTCCAGTTACCTAAAAGAGAAAGAAGAAAAAAAAACAAATTCTAGTTGGCTTCTAGTATTAGACTAGTGCATGCCAATATTATTGGGATATGAATAAACACAATCTGTAAACTAGAAGTTTAATAAGATCAAGACTCCTTTCAGTTCAATCACAACTGAAAAATAAACACTACGATATAGGCATCCTTCAGACACCCGATGTACCACCGCTTTTAAGTACCACCATAAATGAGATAATTGAGAAATGCTATAGTCTTATCTTCAATAATACCAGCCACAAATAGCACTTGAGGCAGAATTTGAGTAGAATAATTACTTTATTTGAAGTAATACTTCAAATAAACTGGCTTTCATCAACAAAAATTGGAAGAAAGATCTTGTCACATTCACTTACATACACACCCTGCAAACAGTGACATACAGAAACTACAATTGTTATTTTTATCCATGCCTTTTTAAGCTGAATAAATGGAGCTGAATCTGAAAGAAGCACTCACCTAAGTGATGCTACAAAGTTATCTGTACACTGATGTCAAACTGAGTAGTGAAGGTAAAGAACGGCTCAGGCTTTACTACAGGTTTGGCAATTTTTTGAATGATAATTTTGCTGGCAATATTAACATTACAGGTACTGCCCTCTCTCAGTAGTTGGACACAGAGAAAAGGATTCTACAAAAATGTGGAGAAGCACTACATTAGTATCTACTGTAGTAGCCACTGTTCTAACTATAGTATCATTTAGGACTGCCTGTAATGTGTCTGATTACTCTTGGGTTCTTTTTGAGCAAACAAGTTGAAAGCAGCGTACTATAACAAGGTAGACAGGCAAATTTGGCTACAAAAACCTCATAGCTCACCATGTAATTACGATGATGCTCAAATGTGACTCTCGGCCATCCAGATTGTGCTAGAAATTTTTATAGCTAGGTACATTCCTGGTCAAGCACGATTGATCCAGCACAGCATTAATGAGAAAGTAATTCAATATCCAAGGTCATGGTGTTAAAAAAACAAACATTCAGAACTGACTTCGAAATAATTCTCTGTTGCTTCCATTGGCAGTACAGTTCACCAAGTTTAAATTTACCAAAGGACTCACTGAAACATGCAGTCACAAAGCATATTTCAAAACTGGTATGGCATCAGTAACTGTGTTAACATTTTGGGTAGTACAAAGGTACTTGTTTCAAAACTGTTTGGTCTCAGATGTTTCAAAGACTCTTGGTCTGCACCACAAAATTGTCCAGCATGAAGTAGAATTTAGATCTGTTGAAGGAGATCATAGGTAAAGCAAGTTTGCTGGTGTGCCTCCACAATCCCAACAAAAAGAGAGACTATTTCTGGATACAAAGTTGACTTATGAAGAGAAGACTCCAGCATTTACAAGGTTACTTGACATCCCTTGAGCTCAGTGGGTGGTCAAAATGCTTCTGGCCTGAACTGACACAAGCTAGGTAGAATGTCTGAACTGGAACTCAGAGACAAGTGAGATGGATGGCATTTTTCATTCATTTTTACTCAAAAATGATATATTACTTTCTCAACAGCCCACTTCCTCTCTCAAGTCAAGCAGAATTTTTTTTCCTCTCTATGCTGTTCCATTAGATTTTCCAAGACAAATCCCTTTCTCAACAGACAGGTAAAGGTTTGATATTGCATGTATTATATCTCCTATTTCAAACTCTTTTGTAAAACAATAAGACTAAATTGAAGGAATTAATTTCAGATACATTTCAAATATCCAACAAGATATTTGAAACAAGAAGTACTATTGAATGATATGAAAACTAGGACTGCAACCTTTCTAGAGTTCTTATTAAAGTCTGAGTAAGTCACTTTACACCCAAGTCTAAGATTCTAAAACACAGTCAGTTATTACCTCATTTCCTTATGCACAAACTACAACTTTCAAATACAAGAATCTTTTCTTAGTTGTGCGTTACATGGCATTCTCCATGCAAACACTAGAAAGAATAAAATACAGTATGTCTCAAAATCAGAAAGCTTAAATTTAAATGTGGGGAGAAATAAACTATTTTTCTGTTGAGTACCTACATACACAACAGCAGCGGAATCTCAAGAGTATATAAAGGTTTTAAGTACAGGACAAAGTTCTAGTAATTGTGCAGTGTTAAAGTGCCCTCATGTGGCTAACATCAAATACTGCACGCATTACTACATTATTTTGCTTCAACTGTACTTTATGGCTTCATAATACATTGCATTAAAGAATAAGCTTGCATGGTTTCACAGGCCTTACGCAACTCTTTGGTAATTCTATCGCAAGGTATTAAGAGCAGTTAACTGTGTTACTGTTATCTCAAAAAGAATCTGATAATTCAAGCAAAATAAACTAATGGATTCATAGAATCATACAATGAAAGAAGTGAAAAAAGAATTACACAAACACAAATCAGTAACCTAAGTCACTAGCAACTTGCTAATGCTCCTATAAAGATGCTATCACATTTACTACAAATAAGCAAAGCCAAACTTTGAAACTTAAGCATGTTTTTTTCAAAGAAACAGAAAAGCAAGCAGAACTAACACATTATCTAACCCTTGTTTTCCCCAATAATGCATTTTTTTAGAAATTTAACTTCTGCAATTTTAAACATGCATTCATTTTCTTACAGAAAGGACATAACAATAGCTCAGATAGCAGCCAATTATAAACATTCTGAACTTATTTTCTATAAAAATTTGCTTGAAATACATAGATGTAGTTTTCTGAATTTCTACGGAAAGAGATTTCTGACTTAACAAGAAAGAAAGATTAGAACTCTGGATGGATATGTCCAGAAGTAGGAACCTGTGTTCAAAAACGGCAAGCTGTGTCCAACAGGGCCAAGAAAAGGTCTCTACATTACTTCTATGATATAAAAGTTACAGGATTATTATCTTTATGAGATATTCACTCCTCAACAAGAAGGAAAGCCACAAAGGACAAATTTCCTTCCCTGTGCTCTAGAGAAATTCATTCAAGAATTACAGGCTGTCCAATCTGGAACCCAAAATGGTATCTGCACCTGTGAATGGTGATGGGTACGGTGGTGATGGGTGAACAGTTGGACTCGATCTTAGAGGTCATTTCCAACCTTAATGATTCTGTGCTTCTAATGCTTACAATTTTCTGAAAACTATGTAACAACATAAGAGAAAAAAGAGTTTTTGAATAGGCTTTGCAACGAACGTGAAGTGAAATCTAGGTGAGCCAACCTACACGATACGGAAGGAACAACAGAAAATTTTATGTATCTGCTTTATCACGGTTTCTCCTGGAAACTTGATTAATCACATGAAGATTTACTTCAAAATATTGCTAGAAGACTGGTTAAACATCAAATAGCATAGAATCAGGCAGTTTGTATAAATACTGCTTTCCACTGCAGAGAAACACTCCCATAGAATCAATGGAAAGGTAAATAAGAGGCATATGTATTTCTTCGTTCTGATGTTCATGCAAACAAAGCTAAACTAAGTTAAATGTAGTATAGCAGTAACAATACTAGTAAGAGTCTTACTAGCAGGATATACTGACATTAAAAAAAAAGTAGAACAGGCTCTGTGATTAGCCATAAGTAGCTTAGCAAATGAACTGAACTCATGAAAATGAATTGAAAGGTACTGATAGTACTTGTAAAACACTACATCACAAAACACAAATATTATGCGAGCTAAAGCAGTCATCATAATAAAAGTGAAATGGTCACAGAAGAGTCTCAAATTATTTTATAGCTAATTGAATGTTTCTTTACTTATTTCTCATTAGCTGCATGAACGTCAAACAACTCAGAGCATTAAGGTTGGTCATCTCTATAACAATTCACAAATAGCTGAGTAAACAGTATATAGAAAAAAAAAAAACCACACACCTTTTGGATTTACTGTATATAACCATTTACACAAAATGCAATATCTAAGCTTAAAAACTGCAGTTTGAACAAATCAAGCACGTAGCAGGTTTACCTACCGCTTCAGTATGTATTGGGTGCACTGCAAAGAGCAGGGATGCAACTATGCTGCTCTGGTTGTCCAAGAAAAGCTTACAGACCTTGAGGAAGACTACACAGACCACCCCGTGAAAGACGAGATTTAGGAAGTGATAAGAAACTGCATTTAACTCGCTGAACAAGTAGTTAAAGCGAAATGTGAGAACTGTGAGGGGTCGGTAAGATTTATGACTCCGCTCCTGAAAGGAAATAAAAAAATGAGTCACAACCATTTTATAACAGTACATTTATTCCAAAATATCTTGTTAAAAATCTGTGATCTCAGGATTTCCCCCCCACTATTCTGACATCTACCTTAAAAATAAAGACATGAAAATTAGTAATACTAACAATGAAGTACAGTGAATGAAATGAAAACTAAATTGAAAATACAGCTGTCGAAACAGAGAAGTTAACTCTAATTATTTTTTCCATCTTCCCCACAGTTCCAATGTATTATTCAGGTGCTTTGATCAATCTCACATTTCATATTTTAGAAAATAAAAATTCTGGTGCACTCAGATAAATGTATTACCTACATATTCTTAATATGTGTACCAGCCAATGTGCACATATGAAATGTGAAATTGCACATAAATATGAAAAACACTGAAACTGCACAAGATGTGAAACATAATTTAAAAGTCACAAACATTCAAATTAATCTGAGTTGTGCTAAGTTTCATCAGACCTTTGTTTGCTTTCTAAGTGCAAAATCAGATCTGGAATTTAGGAGCCCATGTACTCTGAATGACTACAGGATTGGGTGTCTGAAAAAGTCTGGAAGCTTTCCTTATACAAAAACTACATATCAAAGCCTATTTGTAGATCCAGCAATTATTATTTCATAATAAAATTGATGTATATTACAGACATGAAAAGGTGAAGATTACAAGGTGGAAAGTCTTTTAGGCAGAACAAGTATGACAGTCTTTTTTTTTTTCTTTTCCTCATGTGTCCATCAATGGTATCATGTGTGACTTTCCAAATTTTATGTAAACCCTTCTGGTACTGCTGCTTAATGACAGTTTATTGACAACTTTAATGCCAGTGCAGCTTTTCAAATAAAAATGTAGTGACTCAACATAGACTACCAACCAAAAACTCTCAATCCATATCAGTATCCTTACTCAAATGAACATAATAGATTAAATCCCTATTCTCCAAATCCTAGATTTGTTGTTTCAGTGTTATCTTTCCTTCCAGACAGACACTAGAAATAAATACTATTCTAAGTCAATGTGTATGTGGGAGAAGGGAAAACTGTCAAATTTGTCTAATTTCTGTACTAAAATTAGGTAGCACAGAAAACTGAAATATTTTCTTATGAGCTCTTTTACTGAAAGGAAAAATTACAAGAGATATCTACTCCTAATCCAATAGTTCAAAATACAAACATCATCAAATTCCACCCAACTGTTTTAGTGTGGTTAAAACCACATTAGGGAAAAAAGTGTAAAAATTGTCTGTATTTTTTTTCCCCCTATTTCCTCTAAAAGTTCCACGGACAGTTTACCTCAGACATCGGAGTCCCCCAGAAGTCATTCTGAAACAGATTTTTTAATGGAGTAGAAGGGTGCAAATCTTTGTTGTCCAAAATTGCTGAAACATCATCAAAAACAAAGCCACAAAAGAGACTGTTCCAGTAGCAGGCTGCCACCACACCAACTATTAGAGCCACTTCCTTCAGGCTTATTTCAGCCATCTTCTCTAAGATCTTTCATGGACAAAAGCTGCAATATTCAGACAGATAAATGGGCAATTTCACTGAATAAACACTATACTTGATAAATAAAATCAAATTAATACTTTCCATATTTTATAAGTTAACGATGTTATTCACCTAAAAAGCACTAACACATTTTTTTTCCTCAAGTCTTATTCATTTTATCTAATTCAGTGTTTAAAATAAATATTTTCATTAAAGAGCTAACCCACCAACCTAAAAAGCCCTCACACAAACGGGATACTTGTATTTCACATTGATACTACTGCATTTCACGTTCTACTACTAAGACCTAAAACTGGAGATGACTTGGGACATAATTTACAGCAAAAAGCTGTGCAACTGAAGTGAATGTTGCAAACTGGAGAACTAAAAATTAGGCACTCTAGAACCCTGAATAAATTAACATGCTGATGGCTTACATTATCAGAAGGGCAGACAATGCATTAATGATTCGCATTTTTAGTTTAAAAGTTGTTTCTAATAAAAAGTTTCAAATGCAATTAAAATAACATACTGCAAACATTCTGAAGGACGGGAAACCTGTAGAGAGTAATAAATAAAGGCATTCAAGAACTGGTACAGAGTAACTGTAATAATAACAGAAGTTAAACTTACCATTGAAGATCTCACTTAGCTCTTTTGCATATTCTGTAGAAGCTCATGAAAAAGTCATTTTTTCCTCAACTGTACCAACTTCCCAGATTTCAATGAATGTTCATGAGAGTTCTGTCTTAAAGAAAAATAGCACGTAAAAAGAAAACATTAGAAGTGAATCTTATCTCATCTTGCATAAACTTCCTAATCCCTTGAAATTATTAAATAGTAATGTTATTAATAGTAATATTATGACTATTTCATACATAATACATAGGTGGTCAGGTCAAAAGTTGAAAGCATCATTTATCGGGTTGTTTGAAAATAATATTCTTGGGCACAGCAACCACAAAATGACAGATCTCTATTCTTGGTGAAGACAGAAAAGGGGGGTCAGCAAAATTGCTATCTTGGAGTTCCAGAGGACAGACATTGGGTGGGAGAGTCCCTTAGGAGACAGTCCTGCAGGGCAAAGGGCTCCAAAAGGTTGGACATCCCTCAAGAAGGAAATCTTAAAGATGCAGGAGCAGGCTGACCCTGCATCCTGTAAGACAAGACAGCATGAAAGAAGACTGCCTGCCCAAACAGCAAGCTTTTGCTGAGACTCCAGGAAAAAAAAAAAAAAAAAAAAGTTTACCATCTTTGGAAGGAGTAGACAGCTCAAGAAGAATAGAAGGATGTTGCTAGAATATGCAGAGGGAAAATTAGAACAGCAAGAGTCCAGCTAGAACTTAATCTTGTCACCATTGTAATAGGTAAGCAAAAGTGTTGTTACAAATACATTAAGGAGAGCCAAGGAGAATCTCCACCCTTTACTGGCTGCAGTAGGGAACACTGCCACAAAGAAGAAAAGGTGAGGTACTCTATGCCTTCTTTGTTTCTAACTTCAACAGTAAGAACAGTTATCTTTGGGGTACTCAGCTCCCTGAGCTGGAAGACAGAGTGAGGGAGCAGAATAAAATCTCCACAATTTAGGAGGAAACTGTTAGTGATTGTGACTCCACTCATAGTCACAAGTCCATAAGGGCAGATGAGATCCATTTGAGGGTACTGATGGAGCTGGCAAAAGTGATTGCTAAGCCACTTTATGTCATCCATCAGCAGTTCTGGTGAAACAGGGTGATCCCAGATGACTGGAGATTTGCCAATGTGATGCCCATTCACATTGCCCATAAGGGTTGGAAGGAGAGGATCTGGGCACTACAGGCTTGACTGCTTGACCATGGTATCAGAGAAGGCTATGGAACAGATCATCTTGAATGTGATCACACAGCACATGAAAAACAATCGGGATCACACCTACCCAGCATGGGTTCATGAAAGGTAGGTCCTGCTCGATCAACCTGATCTCCCTCTATGATTGACTCGCCTGGTGGATGAGAGAAAGGCTGTGGATGTAGTCTATCTAGACTTCAGCAAAGCCAAATACCTCTGCCATGGTATTCTCCTGATGAGACTTGCAGCTCATGTCTGGAGCAGGTGTACTCTTCACTGGATAAAAAAAACTGGCTGGATGGAGAGCCCAGAGAGTAATTGTGAATGGAAGTATACATATAGGCCTACGTTTATGAAATATGATGTTTCAAAAATTAAGGGACAAAGTAATACTGCCATGCAGAACCAACATTAAGAATTATTTAAATTCAATATTAAGAATTATTTAAATTCAATATTAAGAAAATGCATCTCTAGGTGAGCTGTTTTTAGTGATCTGAAACTTCTTTGTTTATTAGCAGTATAAGTCTACTGTCTGGTTGGAGCAGCAAGCCTTTGTAGATACTACTTTGAATCTCAAAGAGTCAAACAGGTAATTCTTAAACATTCTTAGTTCAGAAATACATAATGCTACTGAACTGGAAAGAAAATGAGATCGATTCTTAAGCAATCTCTGTCCAAAGGAATGAGTTCATCCAGTCGACTGCGAACTCAACTACTTTTTGAAGGTTTCTACTTTTCTGTACACAGAATATGTTAACACAACTATTTTACTCATGCCTTAATCTTAGGCAGTTCTGGTGCTTTTAAAATCTTTCATTTTTGTTCTGAACTTCTATTATTTCTTCCAGCAAGAACTCACTCTAATTTTACACCACTACTGATCACACTGCTCCTGACTGCTACATTGACCTGCATGCAAACTATAGAGAAAATAATGCTGTTTTCATCTGGACGTAAGAGAAATCTTAGGCACAGAGAGCTTAAGATTTTAGCTGCATCCCAAGCCTCAAGTGACTTTCCCATCACCAGAAAGATAAGTCTACAAATAATTTTAAATCAGAATTTTCTTATATGTCACTTGTCCTTCCCTACCTCTGCACGTTTCAAATGTCACCAATGCAACTATGTGCTAAGTTTGTTCCTTCAAAACAACTATTTGATCCACAGACAATTCTTAACTTACTAAATTCACCGTAAGAAGTAAACACCACAAAATACATTTTAGCAACAGGTCACAGAATCACAGAATTGTAGGGGCTGGAAGGGACCTCTAGAGATCACCGAGACCAACCCCCCTGCCAAAGCAGGTTCCCTAAACCAGGTCACAAATGTAGGCGTCAAGGTGAGTCTTGAACATCTCCAGAGAAGGAGACTCCACGACCTCCCTGGGCAGCCTGTTCCAGTGCTCTGTCACCCTCAGCGTAAAGAAGTTCTTGTGCACATTTGTGCGGAACTTCCTATGCTCCAGATAGTCACACAAAGCAGTGCTTGAGCTGCTGCTAGCCTGGTAGCCTCAAACTTTTGCAGTGTGCAGAAGCACATTTAGCAGTGAAGAACACATAACAAATCTGGAAGAATCCCCCATTTTCCATCTTATAGGGAAGGTGAGAGAAAAATGGGAAAAGCAAGGCGATGAAAAAATGAAAAAAAAAATGCAGCGCAGATTCTTAATATCTGCTCACTTGCACTCTGACATTCCAGGGTCTTATTTTCTTGGGATCTGTGCTAGAAAACAAATCAGGGAAATTACTTTTTACATCTGGTCTGTCTATAGGGTAGTGTAATGTTCCTGCTGAATTAAAGTGTAACTATGGAAAAGATGTTTCTGTGGTTCTTTAGTTTAGCATGACAAGGAAAGAAAGGACTTCACATCAGAAATGCTACTTTTATCTACTCTACAACTGGGCCCATCACCAAGCTCTGAATACGCAATGAGTTGAAAATGTAAGACTAAAACTGAGTGAGGCTTATGAGAGTTCAACTGTACTTGTAAGTGAGACAAAAGCAAATCTGCCATTAATCTCAGAAGAAAATAGTAATTACTATCTGGCAGCCAACATTCTCCATACCAATTAATCTGTTGTTACATTAGAAAGTAAGAAGCCATATATGGAGTACACATGACAAAGAAACTCATGGATAGCAGATGTGCACGAGGTTGCTGAAGCCTTGATATGACCGGGCTGCTAAAGTGAGTCATGGTAAGATACTTTCCCTTTCTCACTCAACAGGCATGTTTAAATTTGGAAGAAACCCAAGTATGGTCTTGCAAGTGTTAGTATTTTACCATTTTCAGTGATGGAGTATTGATAAATATCTGTAAAACATGCTGTTCAGCAACTTGTTTGTTAATAAAGGCTTGCTGTGAGGGAGAATACCCTGGCTTTCAGTTGGGATAGAATTAATTTTCTTCCTTGTAGCTGGTGTGGTGCTGTGCTTTGGGTTCAGGATGAGAATAACATTGAGAGCACTAGCATACTGACATTTTAGTCTCTGTTGAGCACTGCTTACACTAAGTCAAGGACATTTCAGCTTATCGTGCTGCCCTGCCAGCTGAGAGCAGACGGGGAGAATTAAGGGGGGGACTCAAGGAGCTGGAAGGGAAAAGAAACAGGACAACTGACCCTAACTGGCCAAAGGGATGTCCCATACCATATCCTGCCGTGCTGAAAAATAAAACCAGGGAAGCTGGCTCAGGGAGGAGCTGCTGCTGCTTGAAACTAGCTGGATATCAGTCAGCTGACATGAGAGTCCAACCTTTTGGCTTGCCTGGGACACATTGAGCAAAACAGAAATTATCTTGGGCAGCATACACAAAGGTTGCTCCAAAAGTGATGCCTCCTATTCATTTCCATGTAAACTATAACAGATATAAAGAGTATGACAACGCTACTTGATAAAGATCTCATTTAGCAAAGACTATTTTCCAACATAGTCATCACCATTAACTATTCATTTTTCCCAGCTACAAACAAGAGCCAGCATGTTGCACTCAATAATTTGCACCAATGGAGGAGACACACTGTTGCTGCAGTAACATCAACAAGTATTTGAAATATTTTTTCTCTTTCTTGAAATGTGACACATATTTCAACAAGCAAATTTGATTTATTCATTAAGCAACAGAATAAAGTATATTTTACTTTTCTTATGTATTCCTTTACTACCTTAATGAG